CGATCATGCCACAGATCGTCACCTCGCCACAGCCAGTTCTTGTTCCACTGCGGCAGATTGGTGTAGAACCACGGCGACACGGGCATCATGTACGGCTTGCCGCTGAGCGCCGCGATCCAGGCCTCGTCGCTGGAGGTGGTTATGTCCTCCGCCCCGACGGGCCAGGCATCCCAGCTGAAGAAGCCGTCGACGATCTTCAGAGCAGACACCAGCCCAGACGGCCCCAGACTGGTCCAGCAGGGGATGAACGAGATGCCGGTGGCCTCGATGATCTTGGGCCAGTCGTCGACATTGCCCGTGCCTTCGAAGGTCGACACCAGGGGCTTGTTCTGGAACCGGAACTGGGCGGTGGAATTCTTGTAGGTGTTGATCTTGGCAATTACGCTGTCCATGGGCCAGGGACCCTCAGCCTCATAGTCGAAGGAGAGAAAGAGCTTGAAGTCGCCGACGGCCTCGGCGGCCGCATAGGCGTTCTGCAGGATGCCGTCGGTGTTGGGGTCTTTGGCGGCGATGTTGAGCGCGAAACCGTCGATGTGGGCGTCTTTGGCTTGTTGGATATCGGACTCCCACTGTTGGGGAGTCATTTCTGCAGCATTTCCGACCTGCGATGGAATTAGACAAATTCTGCCAGAACAAGGAGAGATCTCTCACAATGAAGTGTGCAAAGACGTGCTTAGACCCAGACTGAGCGACGGCAGAGGTGACTGCGGCAGCCAGAAGTAAATATCTGAACGAAGATCTGAGGAACATGTCTGCAGATTGACTGAACAATCGAATAGGACTGAAAGAAGACAGTGTCTGGTATTCTGTCTGGCAGAAGAACGAATGCAGTCGACACAGTCGACGTCTAAGGAACGAATCGGCTGCTCTTCGAACCAGCGAGCGTCACTCTTGCCAGAATACCAGTGGCAAGGACGTAAAAGAAAGGAAAGGACGGCCAAGCACGCTCGACCTGAGGAAATGCAGAGAAAGAAGGAAAGAGAAGTCTTCACCAGGGAAGAAAGAGAGAAAGAGAGAGAGAGAGAGAGAA